TAAATGATGTTAAAAAGTCACTACTATTTTTTAATGTGATCATTGTGCTCATATCGCATTTAAAAAAAAACCCTGCTGCTTAAAGACACAAACTCAAATATTTACAAATAATACTATATAATAACTGGGATTTGCTTTAAAATAACCAGCAATGGTGGGAGGGAAGAAAGCATACAGATAGAACAGGATTGACCACAACCACATGTTTATAATTGTTGAAGCTGAGTGATGATCTCATGGATACTCAAAGTTATTCAATTCTGTTTGGAGGCATGTTTGAAATATTCGAATTTTAAAAGCCTTAATAAAGTCTTAGAGATTGTAAGTATGAATTTCATAAATGAAATTTCTTCCAACTTCTTCTGAAAAGAAGAATAAATAACAGATACCATCTATCTGTATCATTACCTTGACTAAGAACTGGAAAATCAATTTGCTCAATAATCAATGTATTTTCTAAATCAGGCCTTTTAAATAAAGCTTTATAAATTTTACTTATGTAATTAACATATTAAGCAGGGACTGCTGGTAGCAGAGATGTAGGCAAGTGTCATTGATACACCGCACACAGCCCCATTGACTAACTACATCATCCTGTTTTATCTTGCTTTGTGTTTTTTTAACAAAAAGGATCTTTCTTAGTCAATTCCATACTGAATCTTGGAAGATTAGGTGGGCTTTTGCTATTGAGGCTATTTGGTACATGAGAAATGATGGCAACTGAAACTAAAGGTAACAACTACCTAAACACAAAAATAAAAACAACTCATTTCTGCTCCTTTTCTCCCCTCCCAGGGACAGACAATCCCAACCCTATTACTGAATCTTCAAAGAAAAAGGGAAAATAGATTACAGATTTAGATATTCCCAATTGTCTTCAAGTACCTAGTTTAGTGCAAGCAGCCTTCAAGCCAGGTTTTCCTAATTGCTACACCCCAATTCTTTGTGCTTTTCCCAATCCTCCAAATCCAAAATTTCATAAAAATCAATGGTTTATAAAACTTTAAAAAAATTTTTATGCATTGCCTAGCACAGTGCACCCATATAATTCCATTCCATAGGTGTTTGATATTGATGATGATAATCTGATAGTCAATCTGAATATACTGACTTTCCGATATTATACTGCCTGCTACATCTGATCTATCTCTAGCTGAACTGCTATCTTCATCTCTGCTTTCTCCAATGGGTC